ACAGCGGGGCCATCAAGCATTGTGGGAGCGCCTGGAAGCACAGCCCTGCAAGAAAAGGGGCTAGAAATAGAAATCCAGAGGAAGGGAAAGGATTGGCAGCTGTGTGAGAGCTCCTTCAAGATGCCCTTGTGGGCAGGGCCAGCATCCAGCACCCCTGCCCAACACCACAGGAGCAGCAGTGAGAGCCCGGCCAGAGGGAAGAGCAACGTGGGCAACGGGTGCAGGAATTGCCCCTGGAAATACAAACTAGAGTTTGCTGAGGGGGGCTGTGCACCCTGATTTCCAGCAGAGCTCCGGCCAAGGTGGCTCTCAGGGTGGCTGTGGCTGCTCTCCCACTCCCCAGCATGCTGAGCCATCCCTCTCCCTGTGCACCAGCTCTGCAGGCTGGTTCTCAGCTCCCACAGCTCTGGGGGTGCTTGTGGGACTCCCTCCCCACACACACACACTGGTTCTGCACAGGGCACTGGCTGTGGATGGGCAAGAAACATGGTCTAGGTGGGCTGGGAGGAGGACAGTGGGCTGGGAGGACATCCTTGGTGTTCCTAACCCATCCTCTCCTGTGGTTTATGGTGTTTACAGGGCTGAAATGGCCCTGTCCCCCATGATCCATGCTTGGGGATGGGCAGGGCCATGCAGACCAGCAGTGGCTGCCATGTGTGTTCTGCCAGGGTGCTGGGAGACACTCAGGGAGCAACTGCACAAAGAAGGGGGCTCAGAGTATGGCAGGGCACACAGAGCAAAGTCAGAGGAAATTCTTGCCTTGTTACCCAGGAATAGAGAAGATTGAACCCACACAGCATATTTTGGGCATTAGTAAAGACATTTTAGGCTTACTAGCATTCTTAAGCAAGAGAGAGGTCTGGAGTGGGGGAACATTAATGAATCAGTGAGGTCTGGTGATGCTTGAGCTGCTTAGCAAGGCACTCTGAGGCGCAAGGAGCAGTAGGGGTGGCTCCCTAAATTCAGGTGGTATCATCCCCAGCAGAGGCTGGATACAGCAATCCTTGTATCCAAACTCCTGGGCATTGCCCTGCTCCTGCTGCAGAAATTCCTGTCCCAGTTCATCAGCCACAGAGGCATCAGCCCCAGCCCTGAGCTGAGTGAGGGACTGAGAGAGGGGGCAGAGGAGAAAGCTGAGCTGTCATCAGATCTGGGATGCAGGAGAAACGGGAGCAGGCTGCTCTGGAAAAGCTGTGCAGTCATGGGATGGGGAATCATGAGACTTGAATCTGGTCCTGGTGTGGTGTGGCCCTGGCCATGGCCCTGGCCGTGCTGTTTGACCTCTGCTCTGGCCCTGTCACCCGTGTCCTGTCTGTGGGATCACAGGATCACATCAGAGCCCTGTGCTCAGTGCTGCTCTGGGATGTTGGGGTGACCCCTTTTATTGCATCCTCCCTGCAAGAGCACAAGGCTAGAGATGCTCAAACAGGATTCCAGCAGTGCCTGACCTCAGCCAGCCCTGGGACACTCCTTTGCCAGCTGGGAAAGCCAGCAGCCCCAGGATTGGCTCAGCTCTCCTCATCTCTGCTGCAAACTCCGCTCTGCTCTGCCAGGCTGCTGTGATTACAGAGGGGAGATAAGGACAGGCAGTGTCTGTGTCACCAGGCAGGGACAGTTGCCTGTATCTGTGTCTTGTTTGGACTCCAGACACTCTCAGTCCAGCAGTGCCCAGCTCTGGCCTCACTGGGGGCGAGCAGGGACGTGCCAGCTGCTCGGACCAGCCTCCCCCACGGCACTTGGCCATGCCCCAGTGTGGCCCCCAGGACCTGAGCCCTCGTGGAGCTGGGCCCCTGGGGAGCACAGCCACCCCAGAGGCATGAGGGGCTGCATGTGCTGTGGGGCTGTGTCACCCAGCCAGCCCCGCCAGCCAGCCGACCTCCTGTCTCCTCTCCCAGCCAAATTCCTCCTTTAGAATAATAAACAGTGTGGCTCAAGAGAAAGGCTCCTTTCCCTGCCTGGCTAGGACTGGTTTGCCTTCACATGGAGGAGCTGGAGAGGGGCAGAGGGAAGGTCTGTACCAGTGCTGGCAGGGAGGGAGCATGGGGATGGAGAGCTGGGACAGCACCTTGGGGGCTCTGCAGGTTGGGAGGCTGCCACAGAGCTGCAGGGCTCAGTGAAGGTGCTGGACCTGGCATTGCTGCAGGAGCTCCCTGGCCTCCATGATTGTGCCTGGATGGCTGAAGGCAAAGGATCCCATGGCTTGAAAATACTCAGGTCCTGGCTTGTGGGAAGGATGTAGGAGTCTGAGGGGTCTGTGGCACCCTGCTAAGCCAAAGGGGTGAGAGGAGATCACCCAAGGCAGCTGAGCATGGTGTAGGTGCCTGTCTTTGGGTCCCTGGGTGGGATAATGTCTGGGTGCCGGCTTCTGTGTCGCTGAGTAGGATTGCTCCTCCTCGTCTGGCACTCTCAGTGGCACTCACAGTTCCTGCTAAGAACAAAAGCTGGGGCTGAGGAGAGAAACAAGTGCTCTCAAAGCTGGCAGTGAGCTGGGCGCATTTGCATCCCTTGTGAGACGCCTGTGCTCGCCCACATGTGCCAGCACTAGTGTCCCTGTGCCGGGGAGGGACAGCCTTGTCCCTGTCCTCCCGCAGCACCGAGCTCGGCCAGCGGCTCTGAGCATGCCTCTCGCCCGGCCGGAGCACGCAAACAAGGGAGAGGTCACCGCTCTCTGCGAGACGTTGCCACCCTCCCACTCTGCTTGGGAAGCATCTCCAAGAGAAATGCCTTTCTGCAAAAGCAGCAGCTTTATTGAAACCAGCTCTGAGCACAGCGCAGGCGGCCAGAGGCGGCAGGCGGAGGCTGCGGGGCTCTCAGAGCAGCAGCACCCCTGCTAGCCCAGCACCCCTGCTAGCCCAGGACACAGCACACAGCATCCCTGCTAGCCCAGCACCCCTGCTAGCCCAGGACACAGCACACAGCACCCCTGCTAGCCCAGCACCCCTGCTAGCCCAGCACCCCTGCTAGCCCAGGACACAGCACACAGCATCCCTGCTAGCCCAGCACCCCTGCTAGCCCAGGACACAGCACACAGCATCCCTGCTAGGCCAGGACCAGCATCCCTGCTAGCCCAGCATCACCACCAGCACCCCTGCCAGCCCAGCCCCAGCTCCATCACCCCTGCCAGCCCAGCCCCAGCTCCAGCACCCCTGCCAGCCCAGCCCTGCTAGCCCAGCCCCTCTGCCCGGCTCCCCACTCCGGGTTTGCCGTCAGTGACCCTGCAGAGATCGCTGCTGCAGGCTGGGAGCTGTCTGTCTGTCTGTCTGTCTGTCTGTCTGTGTGGGAAGCCCGGCTGCTCAGCAGGACTGGCAGTGACAGCCAGGGAGCTGCACGGGCAGATAAAAGCTGGGCACGGGCTCGGGAGGATCTTAGCCCCTTACAGACAGGTATCTGGGGGCTGGGGTGGTGAACACAACCTGGCTTGGGCATGCAGGCAGGGAGGGGTCAAAGGAGAGGATCCCAGTTGTCCTTACAACCTTGAACATTGAATAATGGATGAATCACACACCTCTGTAAAGGAGAATGGGGAAAGGAAGGTGATTGTTCTCATGGCAGTGCCTTGGGGGGCAGAGATTAGATTGTCCATCCTTCTCTCTCCTGCAGCTTGGTGCTCTGAGGGTGGGTGCAGAGAGGTCACATTCATTTACAGCCTGAATTTCACCTCGGTCCTTTCATCCTACCCACCCCCATCTCTTGCCCTAAGTGCTCTCATCCCCTCTGGCAAACGAAGAGAGAGAAAGAGTTACAGAGATTTTTTCGGGAGGAGGGAGACGGACGCTGCTGAATAAGCTGGAGACCTGGAAGGATTTGTGGTAGATCAAACTTCTGTTGAGCCAAAGCAAGAGAATAATAAAAACATCTGACAAGCACACGTCATTTAAAAACCATTTCCTCCTTAACATCAAGCAGGCCGGGAGGCCGCTCCAGGGCCAAGGCAGAGCTCAGTAAGAGCCTGGGGCTGCCTCAGCAGGTCCAGATTGCCCTCCTTGAGCCTGGCAAGAGCTCCCCAGAGCACTGCCAGCATCTCAGGGGGCTTCTCCTGGTGTCTGCCTTGGAGGGGGGCCCTGTGGCAGGGCAGGAGCTCAGCCCGGGCTGCAGTGGCTGAGCTGGGAGGTTCAGCTCCATGCAGGAGCATCCCCGAGCTCCCCAGTGAACTCATCTCCCCCAGGCACAGAGAAGCCTTTTCCTTTACTCTTCCTCTTCTTGGTGTGTTCATTTTGCCTTTCAGAAATGCTCCTTCCTTCCCACCCCTGCAGCACCATGGGGAGGGGTACCTGTCACCCCAATACACAGGAGACACCCCTGCTCTTAGGGAGCTCTGGCCTCGTCTCTTTTGGCTCCTGCTTTGCACCAGGAAGGCTGAAAAAGCTCTGTAGAAAAGATTTCTTGAGAAATGTTGATTAGAAGAATGTTAAACTAAAAAAAAAAAAAAACCCTCATAGATATGCTGTTAAATTTATGTATTTAAAAGAATACATGAAACTCGTTTTTTGGTGAAGTTTCTTCAGGCTTGTTGTGGTTTAACCCCAGCCAGCAACCAAATGCCATGACAAGGCTTCTTTTATTTCATTGGAAGGAGCAAACAATGTGGGAGGGTTGGAGGGGGATCTGTTTTCTAGCAAGTTTTATCTCACTGTGACTGAGGGAAGAAAAACTAAGGAAAAAAAGGCAAGTGGTAAAGCAGAGGAAGGGAGGGAGGGAGGAAGGCAGGGCTCTGCCAAGGGGGAGAGGCATTTCCAGCTGAGATGAGCAAAAGTTGACACAACTGCTGGAGCCTCCAGCAAAATCCCTGTTTACCAGTGGGAGAAGCCTTAGAAACTGCAGATCCAGCATGAGGGGGAAGCACCACTCCCCCAGGAGGGAAAGGCCGAAAACTGGAGAGATGGAAAGTTTCTGAGGTGGAGAAGTGAGGCCAGGGACCCCTGCCCAGGACAGCCGAGGGACCCCTCCTCTGCTGAGTGCTGTGCTCATGTCACTTTGCTCCTGACAGGACTCAGACACCAAGCCCAGGGCCCAGCATGCCGTGCCCCACTCTCAGGACGTGTCTCTGGCTCCTCATCCTCACTGGTGAGTGCTGTGGCTGGGCAGGGGTGTGTGGTGGCTGGGGGGCTCACCTCGGGGTAAGGGGAGCAATGGGGAAGCACTGGGGTGCACAGCGTGCCCCAGGCACATCTGTCCCTGCTCAGATGCCTGGGCTGACTCAGTCCTGTGGTGGCATGGATGTAGAGTGCCCTCCTGCTTCGTGGTGGGAGGAGGAGACCTTTCCACAGGCAGCAGTGCGAGGTGTGCTCAGACCTTCCTCAGCAGACACCTGAGAACCCACGCGAGCAGGAGGGATTTGGTCAGATCCCAAATATCCAACAACCCCCCCAGCAAGGCACCAGGGCTCCTGGCTGCACCTGGGCTGTTCACAGCATTGCTGCAAGTCCCTGAGCTGTCCCCAGCTGTCCTGCCCACCTGTGGGGACACCAGAGGGGAGCGTGTCACAGCCCCATTGGGACATCTGGGCAGATGGTGAAGCAAGGAAGCTGGGAGAGACATGGGGAACCATTCAGGAAGACCTTGCCTGCTCTATTGCTTCCAAAGGATTTCCTGCAAGGTTTTTCACTTTCTTGTAAACTGACATTGTTTCATCCTCATCTGTGTCCTGTCTGACACTACGTGGACAGGCAGCCAGAAGAGCAAGGAATTGCCTCCTATCCTCCTTGGGGGTTCTCCACCCAATATTGCCACAGACAGCATGGGCTGCACTGAACACTGCTGAATCCTGTCATGTCTGATTTGCTCTCCAGAAAGGGTTGTAGGAGGTACAGGGAATGAAGGGTGACCCACCACGGTCTGGACTGGCAGGATGTTTTTGAGGAGACCGTGGGTTTGTCAGTGCTGATTACACTCGGGAAGGCAAGCCCAGGAAAGTTATTTTACAGTGTAAAGGCTGACACTACAAAGCAAACCCATTGCCATGAGGTGTGCTTCTCTGTGGATTTCAGAGGAATTCAGTTTGGTCTCACCCCTCTCTCAGGTCTGCTGGAGGTGACGTCTGGGGACCGCAGGCTGCACATCGAACCCAGGGACACTGAGCTTGTCCTCAGCCCCCACAGCACCTTCTCCCTCCTGTGCTATGGGGACAGAGAGCTGGTCTGGGAACGGGAGGGGCAGCCCCTCGCTGCCTCGCTGGAGCACAGGGACGGTGTGTTTGTCAGCAACCTCACCCTCAGGAACGTGACAGGCCATCACACCGGGGAGTACACCTGCACCTACAGCCCTGAGCAGGCTCCAGAGCCAGCAGACAGGAGAGCCCTCTACATCTACGTTCCAGGTAGGGGACAGCATGTCCTTGCCTCTGGCTTCCCATGGGGTTTAGCAACCAGGGAAAAAAGGGCTTTGACTTATTGTTCTGTCTCCAAGCTCCTGGCATCCCCAGATCCCTTCTCCAATAGCAGGAGAGCCCTCATGGTAGGTCTCTCTTGCTGTGGCATGTCTCTGATGTGCCAGCTCATGGAGAATGTGGTGTGCTGGGACAAGTGGTGAGGGAGCAGTGCTGCTCAGTGGTGCTGGGTCTCTCTCACCCTCCCAGGAGACATTTGACAAGCACACAACATGCAGCTCTACTTTCCCTAGGGAAGGATGGGAAGCATCCCACTGGCATGGAGTCAGGGCCCTGTGGTGGAGTATTCCTGGAGGAGCACAAAGCAGCCCTGGTTAAGCTTCCAAACAGCATTTTCTAACCAATGTTCCCTCTCTCCCACAGATCCCTCCCTGGTTTTCCTCCCTGCAGTCACCTCTGAAGAGGTCTTCATCTTCATCACGGGCTACACAGAGGCTGTCATCCCATGCCGTGTGACCAACCCACAGATGCAGGTCACCCTCTATGAGAAGAAGGTGGAGAACCCCATCCCAGCTACATATGATCCACAACAGGGATTTAAAGGCTTCTTTGAGGATAAAACCTATTTCTGCCGGACATTTGTGGATGACCAGGAGGTGGATTCTGACACTTTCTATGTCTACAGGATCCAGGGTGAGCTGACATTGTCTTAGCACACCTGTGCACCTGCTGTGGCTGTTTATTCAGGCCAGTGGCAGGAGACACCCAAACTCTCTCCCTGTCTCCTCAGTGATGATCAATTTGGAAGCTGTATTTAGTTCTCTGTTAGAGAATGGGTTTTGCCTACAAGTCAGCTCCATCCCTCAGGGAAGACAGTTCCCAGTGGATCAGTCCACCCAGGGTAAATGGACTGGTTGCCCACTTATGTGGTATTCACATGCCCTCTGAATGGAGAGAAGCAGAGAAAAGAATGATCAAAACAATTCTTATCTCATTTGCTGCTCCTGTGGTTTTGAACATGTGGAATGTGTTGGAAGATTTTTTTACCCAGGGTGATCACTTGATTGGATTCTGGTGATGGTATTTTGATTCATTGACCAGTTGGATCCACGTGTGGCTGAACTGTTGGCTGACAGTCACAAGTTTTCAGTAGTAGTTAGAAGTAAGTATGATGTAGTATACTTACAGGATAGTATAATGTAATATAATATAATTTTAATAAAGTGAGTGTTCAGCATTCCAAAGCCATGGAGTCAGATGCCAATCATTTCCTTCTTTGGGGGTCCTGCTTTTATAATACACTTATCCCTCCATAATTAATTCCTCTCTTTCACCTCTCCCCCAGTGTCATCTGTGAATGTGTCCATCAGTGCAGTGCAGACCATGGTGCGCCAGGGGGAAAACGTCACCGTCATGTGCACCGTGAGTGGCAACGAGCTGGTCAACTTCAACTGGGATTATCCCCGCAAGCAGGTGAGTGCTCCACACCTACAGGCTCTGGGCAGCAGCTCCAGCCTTCACCCAGATGTGCCATGGCAATCACTCATTGATATTCCATGGCAGAAGTTATGGGATGCTGCTGCCACACAGGGAGGTTTGATGGGGATATGCTTGGGTTAAGACTGTCTCAGGGGTCTCTGATTTGTGTGTTCCCTGTCCTGTGGCAGCCAGACTGGGGTCCTCTACCACTTTCTCCCCCCTCCCTGTGAGCCCAGTGGCAGAACATGGTTTTGGCTCCTCATACCACATCTCCTGTCCCCATTTTGCAGGCAGGGAAGGCTGTGGAGCCAGTGACTGACTTCCTGCCTGGATCCACTCATGAGATCCGCTCCATCCTCATCATCCAGAATGCAGAGCTGGAGGACAGTGGGACCTATGTCTGCAATGTCTCTGAGGGCTACCATGAGAAGACAGACAGGAAGGACATCACTGTCCAAGTGATCGGTGCGTCACTGCCCACACCCCCAGAGCCACCAAACCGTGTGGGTGTCCAGGCAGGATGTCCCAGAGTGACCCCCCCTCCTCTCTCACAGCCTCCAGCTTTCTCCCCTCCTCACTTCTGCTCTAAGTAACCATGACAACGAGCTAAACCTCACCCCATGTCACCCCTGCCTGCTTCTTGGCTTCAAAACATCCCAAATTTCCCTTCATGGCTTTAAGACTCTTGAGGGTATTGGTAAGAGCTCCTCTGCACTGTGCAGTGCCAGGGTGATGTTAAGATATGTTGTCTTCCATCTGCATCTGACCTTCTTTCATGTAATTTGAGGGGAACTATCCCATCTCCATTATCTCCACAAGATAACAGCCACATGCTTCTACCCTGTGAGCTCCTCTGCTCCGGTGTGGCTCTGCATCCACACTCCTCTCACACACGAGCCTGAGGTCTTGAGGGATGGATCTGGAGCTGCCCCACCACTTCTGGGCGTTCAGAGAGTTTTGTTCCAGATCCATGTTTATCTAAAGGGCCAGGGCGGGGGTTATTCCCCTTTCTGACCACCTTCTTCCTCTTGCCTCAGAGCATGGCTTTGTGCACTTCCACACCCACCTGCCCAGCACGGTGTATGCTGAGGTCCACAAGAGCCACACTATCCAGGTGGAAGTGGAGGCTTATCCCCAACCCAGCATTGTGTGGCTGAAGAACAACAAGACATTGACCATGGAGAGCAGCAGCGAGTTCACCATCACCAGCAGGAACCTGTCAGAAACCAGGTATGGGCCCATCATTCCTCACCAGGGTGCAGAGAAGGGGTAATTCACAAAGGAATCTCCAAACTGCTGGTTGGGCACAGTTGGTGATTGAATAGCTTTCTGTGAGAGGATTTTGAGCACTTCTCAGGTGGGTGGGAGCACTACCAGTCCCTGGGTACCTCCCCACAGCCATCACTCTGGGACTGTGTCTCCCCAGGTACCAGACAGCTCTGGTGCTGGTGCGGGTGAAGCAGGAAGAAGGAGGATTTTACACCATTCGGGTTTCCAATGAGGATGATGAGCAGGAGATCTCCTTCCATCTGCAGATAAACGGTGAGGACGGGCATGCACACACATGGCTGAGGAGAGCAGGAGCAGCCTCAAGGGGTGGCACCATCCTTTGCTGCAGAACCCTCAGAATGAAGCCCTTACTCCTGTGGCTGCAGCTCCAGAGTGGTCTTGCTTAAAGAAAGAGTGTTCAAGCAACAAAATCACTTGGGTGAAATATCTCACACTTGGCCTCAGAGCAAGGGGGACAGGGAGGCAGCACAGACACCATCAGCTTGGCCCAAGGTAGTAGATGTAGAGATGATTGATTGCACAGCTGTGATGTCCTGGGCTTTCCCCCATGCTCACCCTGCTCTCCAGTCAGGCTATGTGGGGGCAGATCTCCTCCATAACCCCCTCAAACCTTACTCTTTTTGCCATTCCCTTTCAAAAATAAACCACAATGGACGTGATGAGTCCCACCTCATCCCTAGGCTATGGCAGGGATACAGTAGACTCACATTCCTGAGGAATCATGTTCCCCTCCCATCCTGCAGTCAGAAGGGAAGATTAATTCCCATCACTGCCTTTTGGTTTCAGTGCCAGCTAAAGTGGTGGAGCTCAAGGAGAACAGCAGTGCCAGCAATGGGGAGCAGACTGTAACATGCTCTGCTGAAGGCATGCCCCAACCAGAGATCAGCTGGTCTACTTGCAGTGACATCAAATGGTGAGTGCAGGGACGGAGGCCATGAGAACAGCCGTGCTTTTCTTTATTACAATAACAGGCTGTTATTTAATTGCATTCTGCTGGCACACTCACCTGGGCATCCCATGGTGGCACGGGGTCCCTGCTGGCTCTCAGGTGCCTTTGTCCTCTCTGGAGCAGGTGCAGCACCAAGGGCCAGCCCAGGCGGCTGCTGGGGAACGAGTCGGCCGAGATGGGTGTGCAGACCAACGCCTCGTACCAGGCGGAGCGGCAGCTCTACCGCGTCAACAGCACCCTGCAGCTGCACAGGGTGCACGAGCCCCTGCTCCTCAGGTGCACCGTGCACAACTTCCTGGGCACCAGCTCCCAGGACATCACTCTGGTGCCACACGGTGAGGGATGAGACAAGTTTTGAGGCAGTAGTGGGGAGATAGACCTTTCTGTGTCGCCAGCCTGGAAACCTGGCTGCTTCTGCCCCAAATGAAGCTTCCCTTGGGTTGAACAGAAAAGATTTTTCCAGTTGGAGAATGGAGCCCTTATGTCAAATGGCCATGGATGTGCTCTTCCCGCTACTGGCAGGGTCATCTCTCCAGGGAGGCAAGACAGGAGTGCCTGAGCAGGTCCCCAGTGTCTTGTTGTTAGCCCACAGGTCACTAGATGGTGCCACGGACTTGAACATCCCAAATATGAAGAAGGATGGTCTCAGCCCAGGCCCAGGGCCGACACCTCTCCCCCAAGCAAAATAGTCCCTCTAGATCTTTCCACCCTCCTGTGGCCAAACCTCTCCCGAGGCAGAAACCAGTAACAACCCATCACCCCATCATCCCTGGGGGGCTGCAGGTGCTGGGAAAGTGTGCCCAGGAAGAGACTGTCCCCACTCAGAGAACAGCTCAGGGTCAATGTCTGGGGGAGGAGTGTGCGGGGACCTCTCTGCACTGCTCTCCCCTCCTTTCCCTGGGTGCTCAGGCCATGCAGGGGTGGAGGAGTCTGACTGCTCTCCCTGTTATCTTTGTAGCCTTGCCATTCAAGGTGGTCATCATTTCTGTCATCCTGGCCCTGCTGGTCCTCACTGTGATCTCCTTGATCATCCTGATTGTGCTGTGGCAGAAGGTAAGAGAGGAGAGTGTTCCCAGGCTGACACAGTGGTACCCCAGGGTTAGGGTGGCTGGGTCTCATGATGTCCCAGCTACACCAGGACCTATGGGCCTCCATCAGTTCCTGTGTGCCCTTGGCATCTCTGGGGTAGATGGGAAATTAGACAATGGCTGTAGGGACCAAAGGCTCCTTAACAAAGTCCAGACAAATCCCCCACACCCTCTCTGACTCCCAGCCTCTCTGAAGTCTCTTTTCTCTCTGCTCCCTTTTCCAGAAACCTCGTTATGAAATCCGCTGGAAGGTGATTGAGTCGGTCAGCTCTGATGGGCATGAGTACATCTATGTGGATCCCATGCAGCTCCCTTATGACTCCACCTGGGAGGTGCCCAGGGACAAGCTGGTGTTAGGTAAAGGCTCTGCAGTCCCACTGATGGATTCCTGAGGTCCTGGCTGTCTGGGGGTGATAATCCAAAAGAGACCAACCCAGAATCCAAGAGTTCCCTGGAGATATGATGTGGTCCTGGAACAGGGGGATCATCTAAGACCATGGTGTGAGGCCAGCTGCCCCCTTTGGCATTAAGCACCATATTATTCCTGGCTATTCCACCTTGTATCTGGCAGTTCTGGAAACCAGCCCCAACCCCAAACACCATAGCTCATGGCCTTGTCCATGCCCACCAAGATGACTGCAGCAATGCTGGTGTGGTTTCAGACAAGGAGCTGTATTTTCCAGGCTCCTCTCCTCACCCCTCCTCTAGAACATTGCCAACTTTTCCTCCTGGCTGTTTCCTTGCAGGACGCACTCTCGGCTCCGGTGCCTTTGGTCGTGTGGTGGAGGCAACAGCCCATGGCCTGAGCCATTCCCGGTCCACCATGAAGGTGGCAGTCAAAATGCTCAAGTGTGAGTTCTCCCCCTTTCCCCACCCTAAAGCTACAGGACCAGTCAGTGCCACACTCTCCCCTCCTTGCCCTGCTGCTCACACTGGCTCTCCCCTACAGCCACAGCCCGCAGCAGTGAGAAGCAAGCCCTCATGTCCGAGCTGAAGATCATGAGCCACCTGGGACCTCACCTCAACATCGTCAACTTGCTGGGGGCCTGCACCAAAGGAGGTAGATGAGCCCTGAGCAACCTGTCTCTGCTTCCCTGGGCTGTGCTTAGGAGGACAACTGTCCTTGGATAGAGTAATTCCTGCTTTCTAGTTCCAAATGATTCAACCTTCTCCTAAGAAAACCATGTGGGACTCTGAACACCTTTCTTCCAACCTGATTGAAACTGGGAAGGCATGCGTGTCTTAACCTCCACCTCCCTCCACAAACACAAATTTCAAATGCCAAAAAATGCTCAGTACCAGAAAAGTGGCTTTTCCCTTTGGCCCTGCCTTGACACCCTGCGGTCTGGTAATATCCTTGTGCAGTGAAATTCACGGCCAGGATGGCCAAGGCAGGGCTGATGCCGGTGTTGTGTCCCACCAGGACCCATCTACATCATCACGGAGTACTGCCGCTACGGGGACCTGGTGGATTACCTGCACCGCAACAAGCACACCTTCCTGCAGGCCTGCGGGGACAAGGCGCGGCGAGAGGCGGAGCTCTACGGGAACACCCCCAAGGAGGACCCTGTGCACAGGTACGGGAAAGCTGCTCTCTCCTCCTCCCTGCTGCCCGCCCCGTCCCGGCCCCATCACAGAGGGAGGCTGTGTGCTGGTCTGTCTGAGTGCCACTGAGTCCCTCTGAGTGCCACTGAGGGAACCCTGGACAGCCCCGACACGGTGGACAGCGAGGGGGGCGCTCCCCTGTGCCCCGGGGGTACCAAAGGCAGCGAGGCTGGTCCCCATCCTCGGGGGCACAGAGGGCATCCAGGCTGATCCCCATCCCCGGGGGTACCAAAGGCAGCCAGGCTGGTTCCTGGGGGTACGGAAGGCAGCCAGGCTGATGCCTGCAGCAAAGGAGATGCTGGAACAACGGTGGAAGATGAAGGGGTCGACTCTTAGCAGAGGTTAATGCAAGGTTTATTTCAGGAGCTCCGGGGAGCCCCTACAACCTCAGGGGGCTCCTGCTGAGAGGCCCGGGAGAGGCACCAAGGTTACATTTAAAGGGAGGTGGAAACCTAAAGTAGATAACATTTTACTGACCAATAAGAAAAATTAAGGGATGGGTACTGGGAAATGGACATTTAGGACAGTGTATGGGATAACACCTGGGGGGTTGACCCCAGCTTCTGGCTAATCACACGATGTCCTGGGCCGAAAGTTCTAGATGGAGGGGATGGGATGCTGAGTGACTGTCAGAGAGCCAGGGTGGGGATTTGGGGATGATCTCAGCAAAGGAAAGGGATTACACAGGTAGAGGGAGGGGATACAATCTGAGGTAAACCATTTGGGGAAAATAAGGGGATACAAAGACAGAACCATTATAAAACATAAAAACACACTACAACAGCTGGGACTCTCAGGAAGGATCCTGCATTTCTCCAGAGCAGTGAAATAAACACTGGCCCAGCACTGGGACACAGCTGGCTCCTCTGTTACCTTCTTAGACCAGCCCACGTGCCAACCAGTGACCTCCAAGCAGCTCCTGACAGCGAGGAGTTAGCAAACAGAGCCTGAGTTTGCTAGCACACATGCCAGCTGCTCCATGCCAGTTGGGAATATTTCCTGGCACCATTAACTTTATTTGCATAACCATAGCCATGCAGTGAGTGCAGAGACACAGGGTTTTCCAGCATGTCTGAACCACTGGAGATCTCAGCTGTGCATTTCCAGGGCAGGTTGAGTTGCTACTGAGCCTAAGGGAGAAGTGCTAAAGGAGGGCAATTGCACAAGAGGTGTCACAAGGAAAGGGAAATGGTCCTTTATCTGTTTGCCAGCTGTAAGGGATGCAGGCACAGCAGTGCAGAGAAATGTTCCCCTGGGAAGTTAGAAAGCAGCACTTCCTTCCAACATAGCAAAACAATAGTGAAATAGAGCAGTGTTACAGCTCCCCCCTGCCCTTTCTGCCTGAAGGCAGCTGAGGTCTTCCTAAGCACTCTGCCATTTGCACACCACTTCATCCATGATGCAGGGCTTCTTTGCCAGCTGTGTGGGAAATTTCGGTGCTGGGGCTGAGGGTTTGGGAATTTCAGACTCACAGATCACTGCCCCCAGCCCTCATGTCTCCTCCTCTCCTCTGGACCTGAGCAGCCTCTTCTCTTCCCCCCACAGCCACCTCTCCATGTCTGTCGAGAGTGACGGGGGCTACATGGACATGAGCAAGGATGATTCCCTGGACTATGTGCCCATGTCTGACATGAAGGGTGAAGTCAAGTATGCTGACATCGAGTCCTCTAACTATGGCACCCCCTATGAGCTGGACAGCTACTCCCCCTCAGGTAACAGCCTGGCCACAGCAGGAGGGAGAGGTGCTTTGGGTGCTGGATGCCTTTGCTTGCTAAGGTCACTTCTGGGACTTGTCCAGAAGCAGTGCTAGATGTCCTCACAATGAGAGCTCCCAGATGTGTCCCTTTGTTGCTGGAGGCAGAGCATTCCCCAGTGTGTCCTCTCACTACTGGGAGGCTCACCAGTGTGCTGGGTGACACCAACATCCATCTCTGATGTTGATAACACCAACATCCATCTCTGCTTGCCCTCCAGCTCCTGAAAGGACAGACCGGGTGACACTGATAAATGAGTCTCCACTCCTCAGCTATATGGACTTGGTGGGCTTCAGCTTCCAGGTGGCCAATGGGATGGAGTTCCTGGCTTCCAAAAATGTATGTATGCTGGCTGGTCTGTTGTGGTGGCCAGCAGTGTGTTTTCTGCCATGTCCTGCGGTCGGCTTCCTCCCACTGTCCCTCTGTCTGTGCCAAACTCCTTGTGGGATAAGTGGCTGTGCAATTGAAGAGCTGCTGACCACTTCCCTTTGGAAACACAGTCCTGGAGATCAGCATGACTGTATTTGCATGTGACAGCTAACCCTGGCTCACACTGAGCTTCAGACCTGAAATTCCCTGACTCTTGCTCCTCCTGAGCCGTGTTCAGCACAGCTGTGGCATTATATCATCCCTGTTTACTGGGATGACCAAACAGCCTGCAGGGAGCTAAAGCACAAGGCACTCTGCAGCAAGCAACTACTCTTCCTAGACACCCTTATTGCACTGCATGCTCTGAGCACCCCAGAGCTCATCAGAAGTGCTTGTTCAGTGGAAATTAAGCCACCGTGGAGGTCTAGGCTCTGGGCTTCCTAAGGTCTGGCTTAGCCCAGGGCAGGCAGTAATAAAGTTGGATTGTGTGAAGCATCACACAGGGCAGAGCTAACAGAAGGCGTCAATGGCATCAATGCAGAGAGAAATTCCTGGCTCTGTGCCCCCAGCCAGACAGTCTGATCCCTAGAAGTGCATGCTCAGTGCTCCCACAGCAAATGTCAGGGCTGCTCATACAGAAAACATCCATCATGCTGGCAGACTAGGAGGCACAAGCCAGGCTGGTGTAACTCAGATGTGTTCAGGCTGCTGGGCTGGGTTGTCCAAACAGAGATAGAGACACCCCCTCCTCCCAGCCCACCAAGTCCCCTCTCTGCTGGGCTGGTCAGGTTCCCCTGCTGGATCTGCATGGCTGATGCTGTCACGGAGAAAGCAGTCCAGGCAAACAGCAAAAAGGTGTTAGCTCTGCTGGTGGTGGAGCCATGATTGTCCCCAGAGGTGAAGGAGACACCTGAAATGGCGTGAGGTGCCTCCTGTCCCTGCAGCCCCAGGCGTGGGCTGGTGCTGGAGCTGGGCTGTGTTCTCAGGCTGTGTGAAGGCTCCTCACAGTGACAGTGCCCTGTGTCCCCCCTGCAGTGTGTGCACCGTGACCTGGCTGCCAGGAATGTCCTCATCTGTGAGGGGAAGCTGGTGAAGATCTGTGACTTTGGCCTGGCGAGGGACATCATGAGGGATTCCAACTATATCTCCAAAGGCAGTGTAAGTACCAATGTGAGCCTTGCAAGCTCCTTCTTCCCAGGGCTCTGGGCCTGGCACCCCCTACATAGTCCCCCTGTGAGCCACCTGTCCACCACTGTGCCCAGAAATGGTCACAGGGCAGGACTCTCAGGAGATGATGTCAACAGCCAACCATCCTTCACTTTGTTTGCTCTGCACACTGTCAAGTAGCAGAATTGCTTGTCCCCATCTCCTGGCTCTTTACAGAAGAACCTGAAGTAGCAAAACTCAGGATTGTCCCCTGTACGCTGTCCTGATCACAGCAGCAGTGCTGCATCCTGCCAGCACTGAGTGTGGTCCTGAGCTTCAGGCAGGAAGAGGGCAAGGTTAGGCAGCTTGGTAGGGCTGTAGTGACTCACTGACCACTCTGGGAAGAGATTCACAGGATTCTGCTCTAACCACTAGACCACAAGTTAAGAAGAAGTGTTTTCTTGCAAGCAGCTACTTTCCAGAGAGATGTCTCCAATCTTTCAACGCAGGGGAGGATAAAGCTGTAATTGAGCTTTGCCAGAAAGCATTTCCCTGTGATTGTAACAACAGCCTATCCACTCCAGCCCTGAGGCATTTGTGAATCTCCAATCCCAAGCAAAACAGGCCATGTAATTCCCAGAGAAACTGAGGCTGAGAATGGAGACAGGTGCCTTAAACCCCAACCTTTATCTAATCTGCAAAGCTCTCTCATGCTTTCTCCCATGTGCTGTCAAACAGGTACTCAGAGCTTGGTCAGGGGGACCCTCCCCCAGAGGGGTTGGGGTTTTCAGTCCAGCCTTGACATAGCTGGTTTCCTGTCCAAAATGGGAAATGAAACTGAGCCCCTTTGCAATCCTTCCTGGAGATTATTTTGGTATTCATTGTGCAAGCAAATCCCAGGAGCAGCAGCCAGTTCTGCATACAAGCTGGACAAGTGAGGCTTTCATTTTTATTACTCTGAGTGAATAAGAACAGAAGAGAAGCTGGATGGCTCTTTTCTGGTCACCCCTTAGCCTCCTCCAGCCTGGTCTCAGGTTTCCAAAGTCAGGTTGTGCAAGTCAGTGGCCTCATTGAGAGTGAGGGAACAGAGAACACACACTGTGACATGTGTGCATTCATCATGGCAGGCTGGGATGGAAATGGACACAGCACATCCATTCTTTCCTCCTGCCTGCTGGGTCTGTTCTGCACAAATAAAGAGGCAACTGGTCCCTCCCAGAACTGACTGACAGCAGATGTCAACAGATGTGTTGGACTCACAGGCAGATCTGAAGGCTCTTCTTTGCTTGTAATTTGGTCGTCAGGCTCTTATCTGTTAAAACAACTGCTGTGGGTAGAGCTGACTCTCTTCTTGTTTCATTTTTGATTCTCTCTTAGACCTTCTTGCCCCTTAAGTGGATGGCTCCAGAGAGCATCTTCAACAACCTCTACACTACCCTGAGCGATGTGTGGTCTTTTGGGATTCTGCTTTGGGAGATATTCACCCTAGGTGAGTGCCCTGGAGGTCATGGTGGTGTCTGTAGTTCTGATAACATGTTAGCAGGATCCCTTCTAAAACAATAAAAATGCATTTCTAACCTCCAAGTCCCTACTTTGCCAGTCAGAGTAGCACTTCATTCCCTGTCTCCTTCTTCCCCATGCTCACGTTGCATTTGGAAGTGAACTGAAACAAGAAAGGTAAAGAAATAAGAAAACCTTGGTGTGAAATGCATGTTGGCTGGAGGGTGGCAGGCAATCCTGCAGCCTAATTCCTGCTCTCCCTTTACCCCCAGGAGGGACTCCATACCCTGAGCTGCCCATGAATGAACAGTTCTACAACGCCATCAAACGTGGCTATCGGATGTCCAAACCCACCCACGCCTCTGATGAGATGTAAGTGCTGTCAATATGTGTTTCCCCTGGATGTGCTCTACATGCCACAGAAGCATTTCTACCTGTTTTCCTCACCTGCTGACTCAGTGTTCTCCTTTCCCTCTTGGCAGCTACAGCATCATGCAGAAGTGCTGGGAGGAGAAGTTTGAGATCAGGCCATCCTTCTCACAGCTGGTGGTGCTTATGGGAAACCTCCTGGTGGACTGCTACAGGAAGGTATGTCCAAAGGACCCTGTGCTGGAGGGACAGAAGGGGGTCAGTGCCTTGGTGAGGGCCCTCAGTCAGGCTTTGGAGACCAGTCTTTAGTCTGGTCTGGACTTTCTTCAGGAGTCTTTGGTCAGGTTGTGCAAGTCAGCAGCCTCATCAAGAGTGAGAGAACAGAGAACACACAATGTGACATGTGGGCATTCATCATGGCAGAGGATTTTGCTGTGACCAAGGCTGCAGTAGTTGGAGCAGCCAGTGAAGGTGGTTTGGGCATCCCAGGAACATTGCTGAGACAACTGCATCGCCAGACAAGCAGCTGGTAACTCAGCAACTGCAGAAATCAGAACTGGCAGTAGATCAAAATCCTGCCTCCAACCGTGTGGTATTTTGGAGCTGTGAAGTTGTGCCACTGACCTCTCCCTTAGGAAAGATCCATGGCCTGTCTTTCTTGGAGTAAGAGCAGCTGAACCCAGCTAGGAGATACCAGCCCCTCTAGGAAAGCCTGGCAGGCAGGACAAGGAAACCCAACATGAGTGCATTGTCCCCACTCACAAGACCTCTCCCTTTCTTTGGTCACCTCCTGTGGGAGCAGAGGTACCAGCAGGTGGATGAGGAGTTCATGAAGAGCGATCACCCCGCGGTCGTGCGCACCAGACCCGCGGTTCCCGTGCTGAACAACGCCCGCCTGGCTGCCGGCTCCCCCAGCAGCCACATCCTCTACACAGCCGTGCACCAGCACGGGGGGGAGAACGACTACATCATCCCCCTTCCCGACCCCAAACCTGAGGGGAGCTCTGACCTCCCCCAGGAGGCCTCCATCAGCAGGGCCAGGTAAGAACATTGCTCCTGAGCATTGTCCTTTGCCCCGGCTGTCCAAATCTGAAACGGGGACCTCAGGAGAAAATGGGGATGCTCTGTTGAGGCACAGACCAGGGGTGGGTATACTGGGAGAGAAGGAGGGCAGTGTCACCCCATCTGAGGTGCTGTGACCTGCATGAGCCCACAAGGGTGGAGATGAACCAGAGGAGCTGGGGCATGAGCTAAGATAGGGCACAGTGTCACATCCCTGCACGTCACCCAGCACAGCTGAGGACAAGCAGCCCCACTCACAGGGAGGGGAGCAGGCAGGGAACCACGTTCTGTAGAACCCACCCAGCCATGTGTTGTGTTTGAAGGCTGGATAGACCCACCTGGTATGGTCTGTTCCACTGGGGGAAGCTACTCACACAGAGTGGGGCTGCTGGGAACTCAACACACTTCCCAGTTTCTGGGAATCCTCTCCTACCCACAGACCTGGGACAAGACACTCATTTCTCTCTCCCTCTTGTCTCCCTTCAGCTCTATGTTGAACGAGGCCAACACATCATCTACAATATCCTGTGACAGCCCTCTGGGCCTCCAGCAGGACGAGGAGCAGGAATCTGACCCACAACCAGGCTGCCAGGAGCCAACCACAGGACACCAAGAAGTGGAGGAGAGTTTCCTGTAGTCAGAGCTGGGCCGACTTTGCATCTCCCTATGGAGAGGCCAGCTGAGGGGGCTGACCCAGATGTCACAGAGAGCCATGCTTGTGCTTGTACATCAGGACATCCCCACCTGCCCCAGCATTCCTCCTTCCCTTCTGTCTCCCAGTGCTGGGTGGGGAATTAAAGACTTTTCCCCACTGTCATCCCCTTCCCCCTTAAAAAGAGGTGGCTCAGTGCCAGACACCCTCTAGATCACTGCCACATCCTCCTCAGTGATCAAACCACTGCAGGAGGGAGACATCTCACAGACCAACACCTTTTCAAGTGGAAGACATGGTTGGATCTCCATGAGAGGCCACTTTCTGCATTGCTAAGATGACACTCCAGCCTCTTTCTCCTCTATGGCACAGAGTTTCGTCTCCTCTGCACCAGCACTTCTCTGATGGTCTCAGCACCAGCCACACCGTGGTTCTGTGAAATGCCACTGGGACAGATCATCCACCTGGAGCCCATTGCTGGGGTGTAGAGGACCTGCAACGCCAGCCTTCAGCTGCTGGAGGTCAGGAGTTGGATTGGATTCTCCTCCAAGCCTGAAGAGGCCAGCCAGTGTCTGGGAGGTACAGAAATACCATTTTCCTCTCTTGGCAGTGCTTCCATGGTGGATGGAGCATCACAAGCACTACAGGTGTTCACAGCTCTGGGGCAAAGCTCTGCATCCCCCTGGAGGCTGTCACACCCTTCTGTGCCCAGCATGGCACCAGGAGCCCCAGGGACATGCCAGGAGCTCCAAATGCCCTCACAATGACTTGGTTATAGAAGCAAGGAGGGCAGTCACTGTTGTTCGTGTTGTCTGTGTGGACACTAAGCTAATTATTCTCCATTGAAGATTTAAAGGGAACAAATATATTAATCCACTAGCCAGGGCCAGTATAAGGAAGCAATATGGTTATTCATTAATCTACTGCCACTACACCCAGTTCATCTGCTGGGAAATCATATAACCACGCCAGCTGCAGAATCCTTGTGCTTTATCTTTGGGAAGCAAAGGCTCACCTTTGATAAACTGTTCACCCAAACACCCCTTCTCAGGATGGGAGGGCTCACCCTTCCCTCCTGAGTCACAGCAAGATTATGGGCAGAAATAAGGATACCAGGACACCAACCCAGGGATAGCTCCAAAGAAAGAGAGGGAGAGAGGCTGGGAAGCTCCTTGGTCACAGCTGAGCTGTATCTCACACCCTGCCACCTTCTGGGGTCAGGCAGAGCCACTTGCAGCCTGCCAGGGCTGTGAAATGTCACAGGGAACCAAGCAGGGCAAGAGGAATCAGAGAGGATTCCCTTCTCTTGGTGAGTGTTTTGTAAACTAAATGGGCTCCCCCTGCTTCTGCCCTCCTTCCCCACCTCTCACAGATGGGTCAGGGGCTTCTTGTGCTCTCAGCTGGCACTGAATGAGCAGACCCAAAGCAGGAGGGGCACCAGGCTTTGGAAATCAGTTGTGAGCCCCACCTCTGCAGAGATGAAAGCTGGACCCCCCAAACCACAGCTCTGACACCACAGAAGACAGCAGGTTTTTCTCTGAAATGAGTTTCACTTCACACAGGGCTCTGTTCACTGCTTGTCCCCTGCTCCCATTAACTCTTCATTGCCCTACTCATGCACATCTCTCTGTGCATCCTACAAGAACTGCACAGGCAGGTTTACAAAATCAGAAATTCAGTCAGCATCTTGCTGGGCTTCTGCCACCTCAGAGCCACTGAGAATTTAATAATTTTTAAAAAAATATGGAACTTCTGTCAGAAATCCCCAGCAGAACAGCTTCTGTTTAAAGTTTTCTACCATTCCAGTTCTGCCATTTATGCAGCTAAAGGAGGAGTAGGTGTTTTGTGGGCTGATGTCCTTGGTAAAATGTGAACATAAGAAATAGCACTTTTATTGGCAGCCAGCAGAGGATATTTTCAGCCTATGTGGTCAGATTCCCCACCATCCATAGGAAACATACTGTGAATGACAACTGTTTTTCCATCCTCTGTTTCCTCCTGCTTGTAATGAAGGAGCCATCTCCTATGGCCACAGTTCATTAAATAATCCTCACTGCAGAGAAGCAGTAATTTATGAGATCCTTTGGGTCAGATCACTTGATTTTTTTTTTTTAACATGTAAGGTGCTTGGTAGGATCTGTGTCACTGCAACTTGAGCCCAGAGGATGGCACATCAGATTATCCCAACAGCCCCTGTCTGCACCAGCTCCATTTTTAATTCACCCTTCTCTACCAAAGGTGACCAGAAGTACCCAGTACTCCAGGTGAGGTCAAACCTACACCTCACACAGGGCATTACCAGTTCTGGCCTGTGCTGGTCTCAACTTATCTGGTGTAGCTTTGGATAATTTTGGCTTTTTCCCAGCCACAACATACTGAGAGCTTGGAGTCATCCTCTGACCAATCTAGGCACCTACGTCTTTCTACACTTCCAGCATTACTAACCAAGCTACTCCCTGCTGTTCCAGACATTGGGTCATCAGCAAATTTTGTTAACAAACTGTTATTTTTGGGCTGGACTGACTAATAAAAATATTAGATACTTCTAGCAACCAGAGCAATCTGAGAGAGATACTTTTACTACCTCCCTCCAGCCCAAAGATTTCCCATCAATTAACACCTTCTCACTTTCCCTTTGGCCATTTGCTTATTTCAAAAATCCTGTTCTAAACTTCATCTTGTACAGATTTAATTGCTAATTAAATTACTAATTTCCCACTATCAAATAGTTTCCACAGTCCTGGAAGGGGAGATCTCCCTGCTGGGGGAGCTCAGGTATCCTGTCCTATTAGCTGGGCATTAGCTATATTTGAATGCCTATTGCATTTTGTTCCTTTTGTAGATTTACTGCAATTATTATTTGCATCAAAATCTGTTCTGGCTGCTGCTGAGATGCTACTCTCACCTCCCTATTCCTTCTCAAAGTAGGTGCGCCAGACTTTGCAAAATGGTACATTCTGCACTCCAGAGGAAATATGACCAAATACTTGCCCTTGGCCCATGATTTTAAGGGCTGAGTCTTGCACTTTGTGGTATTTTCCTGTCCTTACTCAACCTTTCACAGCACCTTTAGCAAGTTGCAGTGACCAGACCTTCTCAGCCAGGGACAAGCTGGCAGCTGGACAAAGCCAACATATTTTGCTAAGCATCCCTCCAAGAGAGGGCCTGGCAGAGCTGGGCATGACAGATCCAGCCCCACACTCCCTCTCTCTCTGCTCCAGTCCCTGCATGGCCTGGCAGGTGAGGGCCAGGAGAAAGGTTTGCCTGTTCTGGGCCCATCAGTTTTGTAGCCATCATTTCCCTGTGAGACTCTGAAGGGAACCGGTCCCACTGGGTTTTATGTTCTGATAATCAGTATTTTTGTTTGGGTGTGTTTTTGTGTTTAGAGGTGGATCCAAACTGAGCCCCCCATGAAGGAACACATGCCACAGCTTGGGCCCATCTCTAGTGCAATATCTTTTTATTTGTAGATTATATTTTACTCTACAACTGTTACATTGCTATCAGAACCAGTATATGCATAATCCTACTGCCAGTCACTATTTCATATGTGTATCCCAGAAACTAATGCAGCACTCTGGTGTCTCTTTCCATATTTAGGTGTTCCTCAGACTGATGTGTGCACAGGTTTTAATCCTTTTGTCCCTCTCAGTTTGAGTGTGTTATTTCCTTAAGCGCGAGTGTCACGTTTAGTGTTTGTTTGTGTTGTGTGAAATCTAGAGCACAGTGGACTTTAACTAAATTGTCTCTGTTCACCTGCCAGGGGGGCTGTGGCAGGGTCCCACGGGGATGGGGGCAGAAGTGCAGTGCAGATGTGCAGCCAGGGGAAGTCAGCCAGAAGTGAGAAGCAGCTCTTCTCTTTCTTCCCAGCCAGGGCTCTGGGCTGTGGGGAGACAGCACCACAAATACAGGGCACTGAGCACTCAGGGTTTGCCTGTGAGGAAGCCCAAGGTCTGTGCAGAGCTGGCAGATCTGGAGAAGGGGATTTCACAGAGTGCTAAGGAGACAAAGCCCCTGTTCCAACGCACACGTGCGAGGAGGAGCCCTGGCTGGGCTCAGTGCCTAGCTCGGGTTCCAGGATCATCAGGGAGCCTGGATGCAGCCTGGTTGTGCTCCCACTTGGAGAGCACAGAGGTTGCCCTTTGGTGGCCCTTTTGGCATCCTTTGCCTCGGGTGGTTGCCAGGCAGAGAGCAGCCAGGGCAGCTCCAGGGCCACACAGGTCATTCCTGCAGCACATCCCAGCCCTGCCTGCATGTGAGTGTAACAGTGGAGGCACCGTGGCATCTGCAGGACCTGTCCAAAGCAGGCCAGATATTGCTAAGAATAAGTTTTTATAGACCAGCACACGGGTTTCTGGGCTACCAGCATGATTCCCATGTTTCACCTGGAGACCTGAGGCCTCTGGGAAATGCCAAGGTGGATCTGGTTGGCTTTGGCAAAGGCAGGGGAGCTGCTCCAGCAGCACTTTGGAGTGAGGACTCTTGCCTGGGGTGGGAGGAGGCAGGAAGGGCAGCTTGTGCTGGGAGGCCTGCAGTGTCCCATCATTCCTGTTCTTTCCTCCTTCATGGGCTGATTGCACCACAACTGCCAATCTTGCCCAAAGTGTACCCTCTCCCCATCTTGCTGTGCTGGCTTGCTGGCATCACACTGTTCCTCTGCAGCCTTTCTGAACAGCAGCAGCACCTATCCCCATGCTGTCTGTCAAAATCAGCACAAGGGCAAAGGGAAAAACAGAGTTCAGACTAAGGTACCAAAGAGTTAACACTTTTCTAGGTTTACAGTTGTATTTGTAGGATTTGTACTATGTCACATTTATAGCCATGAGATTATTTTTATGCTGTAAACTTTTACAAATATGTTTTTAAAGAAAGAGTTTAAAAATAAAGGTGTTTTTCATTTTGCAAAGTCCCATCTCTTACTTTATTTGCCTGCTTTTGGTTGCTTCCACTCAGATGGGGCTGGGAACACAGCTTAACCCTGTGGT